TTAGTCGTCCTATAAATATCTTTTTGTTTCGCCATCTTAAAATTTAATGCATTTTTGACTAATCTAAAAAAATGAAAAAATTCAAAAAAATATATCATACACCTTTCATGTTTTTGACAAGACCAACTTCAATCTATGAAAATGCATTAAATTTGTTTGGAAACATTTGTCCCTCTCATTTTGATGCACTTGGGGAGGTTGAGGTCGAACCCATATGCGACAAGACTGACAAAGACTCTTCGGCATACTGTGTATGTTGTTCAAGTCACTGTAAAACGAAGTTGTTTCGGTAAAAATAAAAAGTTGAAAATGTAAATTAATGTGTAAAAAGATATCAAAATTAACCCTTTAAAATATTGCATAGAGTTGACATATATACTTTGCCGACAAAAAGAAATTGGATGACAAATAGTACTACTCATTGTGCTACCGAATTTATTTGTTTTTGTCTACTTGCTAGTTGCTAGGCTTCGGTTAACATAATGGCAATAACTTACGTAACTGATTCATTGAAAATGACAAATCTAAGAGAGAATTTTACCTTCGCATGGTTGAATTTGAATCAAAAGGTCTTATTGTTATTTTACTAAATGGCGTTTCATCATTAAAAACAAATTTTGGGTGATCATGTAAAATAGTAGTTACTAATTTAATAAAAATACGTATAGACAAAGCAAATAACGAGTTATCAAAAGAAAAAAAAAAGACGTACAACTATGCGAATGTAATTATCGGGAGGAAAAAACAATACTTAACATGTGAACTTAATAATATCAATCTCACCCACTTTGTTGGACCACTGCAATAAAAATCAAAGTACAAACTACTTGAGCTAAAAATAAGGCTTTTTAGAATTTGATAAAAGGAGTATCATTCTTTTTGTATGCAAGTTTCTAATAGAGACTATTTACATAACAAATTCCAATTTCGTATCATTCTTTTGAAAGGACTAGAGACCGTCCATAGCTGCTCACTTTTAAAAAAGATTCATGAGCTTTTCATACAATAAATGGTTGTTGAGCCTTTTTGCGTCCTCGTGTCCTTCTCGGGTTAGCACTGATCATGCATGAGAATGCGTTTCTCAGATCCGAATCCTCTTCACTAGTGAGGAAGTTTGCTGCCGATGGATTTGCCAAGAGGAGCTTGGCCACGAGGTAACCCGCGATGGACCAAGTCTGGTAAAGCCGTGCCTGTTTACCGATGAATCTTGCTCTTTTGGTGTCGTAGTACTCGGGCCATTTGTCAATAGAAATCCGTCTCTCGGCTAACTCAACCGCCTTTTCTGCAATCTCTGGTCTACCCATTTTGATGCTTGCTACTGTCAGCTGGAAAAAAAAAACCAAGAAGGGACACAGAAATTTAAAATTAACACAAACGTGGCTTTGAAACTCTTACTGATAAACCAAACTGGTTATCTCTGTGTGTACAACAATATGAATGGAGTTGAATATGACTAGCGTAGAATCTAACATTTTCTTCAAGCTTACTAAACAGTTTCAAATCCAATTATTCAATGGTTGGACTTCAAATGAGATTCATAAAGAACTGACTCACCTCGGATTGGCATAAAAAAAACACATGAATGCCCAATTTATGAGGTCTACCAAAAGAGTAAGAGAAAAATCTGAACTAACCTGCCATAACAAAGTTGGCCAGGCACCTCCATTGTGATAAGACCAAGGACTGCAACAAAATCAAGAAGCTTAAGATGATATAATTTGGATGGGGAAAAACTGTAGTGAAAATATAAAACATTTATTGAGTATCATGCGGAAAAGAGAGAACTTACGTGTTCTTTGGATCACTTCCGGTTATTATTCGCCATTCTTCACCTTCCATAGCAGGGTAACAAATCTTGAATGGCATATCTGCTACTAGTTCTGCCCATTTGGCTTCGACAAAATCAAGAATTGCATGTGATTGATCATTTGTAGCCAAACTGCTCACTATAGACCAAAGGTTCCCCAAAGAAAAGAATCTGAAATCCATGTGCGCGGGTTGAAGGTTTCCAATCAAATATCCTCCTCTGTTGGGCATAAAGTCCACTAACCATGATGGGATCTGATCTGGATATATGTTGAATTTATTAACCGCGTCGTAAGAGTATTCTTCAGTTTGGTAACGGTATATTTCATTTATCTTTTTCAGGTCCAACCAGTAGTATTCCCTAATGTGGAAAGATAATGCAACAAGACGATTGTTGAGAGCTCGGATTAGATCAGCTGATCCATCCTCTGGGGTAAGCATCTCACGTGCACAGACCAGAGCTGAATAAAACAGTGCCTGAGAAAGGATAAAACAAAATTAAATGGCTGCAAAATCAGATTGAATGTACATAAATGCGATGAGAAATACTCACCTGAATCTCCAGGGGATGACCATGGATTCCCATTCGACGGTCTATCATGCAGGACCCGTCAGTGACTAATAGAGTAGGGAACATATCAAAACCATCCGCAAGACAAAGCTTTAAGATCATCTTGATTCCGGTCTGCACATCAACTCTTTCCTGCACGGAAAGATCACCTGTGCATTTTCCATATGCTCTCAACAATATAATCCACCACAAGCCTGGGATTCCGATACAAATAAAAAGTGAGTCAAGACAACCTGATACCAGAACAAATTCAAATATCCATATCACATAGTTGTAAGACAGAACTTCAATATTTAAGCTTCTCTCACCAGAATCAACTGGGGCAACACGTCCAATTGCTGCTTCCCCAAAATCAGGATCCAACACTTCTTCTGTCATTGAATCATCACCATCAAGAGGAACAGTTTTCACCTTGAAACTAGCAGGCATCAAACCTTGACCAGGGCTATGGCAATCCATGGTTTTCTCCCAACTCTGGTCCAGAATAAGCATTATTCAGCACATAAAAGAACCTAATAACTTCATGATAACAATCTACCCTGAACTCGGTTTCCACAACAACAACAAAAAGGCTTCTACAGTTGCAGATTACAATCTTTTCTACTTAACCACAAAAACATTTGACAATGTCACGCTTCGATATGTACTAACATATTCAGTATCAACTGCTTTTCACAAAAGTATTCAAATAAGTAGCAATTTTCTGGCTTTAGAACCAAGTTAGGAGAAACAAAGAAAGAATGTATCACCTGTAATTGGAGGGTGTAAAGGATGAAATTACGAACAATATCATACTCTCCTTTAAGTAGAAAGGCAATCCCCGAGGGTATGAAATCACGAATGAAGACCTGATCATAATTCAGAACGCTAGTAGAGTTCGGGTCATTCGCAGCAATCGTTCCAATAGGACTGCCACAATAGTAAACAATGGACTGCCTCAACAGATCCCACGCTTCATCCTCTATAGATTTTGGTCCAGCCGATGGTACGTTACCATTAGATGAAAGACTTCCGTTTACAGGTAGAGGCATTTCATCCAAATCGCTTTTCAATTCATTGCTCAAGCCCTCAGAAGGAAGTAACGTGGATCTGATGTTCTCCTCAACATCATGTTTTTGGCATTTGCATATCGTGAAAACCAATTTCTTACCCTTAAAACCACAGTTCGGACTGTGCAACGAATTTCCTCGCGCCAAGGATTTTGAGACTCTTGAGATCTCATGCAAGTTTGTACACCTTAACCCCGTTCTATTTCGACTAACCGGTTTAAATGAGAGACTAGGAGTCGAGTTAACAAGGAAAGAAGCAAGATAACAAGATGTAGATAAAGTTCCCAATGGAACCCGTAGAACTGTTTCCGAAGCCGCCATTTTGATTACCCTATTACACTCAGACGAATGGGTAGAAGAACTGATAAAACTTCAAAATGATACCTGCAAAAAAAAAGACGAAAAAGATGAGAATCAAACAGAAATGAACAAACTTTACATCGAAGATCCAAGAGCTAGCATGAAGAACATCTTCAAAAGTCCAACTTTCCAATACCCAAATCACACTGAATATGGTTTTCAAGTGGATAGGATTATCACTATTCACTAAGACTCCAAAATGATACCTGAAACATTCATTCTCAAAGGCCTTATCTAAAACTCAACAGAGTTATGATTCAGTAAATCTTGAATCAAAACCAAGTTATGAAATCATCAAAACAAACATGCAGGAAACGAAATGAAATCAGATTCCGCAAATCACAGAAGACTTATAAGTTTTTTTTTTCCCGTAATTTTTAGGTCAATTGTTAATTTGCAATTGAACAACTTTTTAGTATCCCAGAAACTGATGAAGGAAAACACTATCGAACAAGTCCAATTTCAATGCTACATAACTAAATCAGACCCAATTTTGTTTATCCTCAGGATTTCTCAGAGATTGCAAAAAGAAGGAACACGTAAAAGCATCGGAAGCCAAAAATGTAAATGAGGATTATGAGCATCGTGTAGCTTAAGAGGTAGACGATAGGGACTACTACTTACTAGGGATTATCCAGGCTCAGCTTCAGGGAGAGATTTCGAATCAGAGGAAATTTTTGTCGGGAAAGAAGATGAATGAAAAATCGTCGAGAGAGTCACAGGTAGGAGTATAATTCCCTTTCTCTTTTTATCGAAACACGAGAAATTAATTTTTCCATCATCCACGAGTTTACGCGTGTGAAACGACGACGTGTCCAAACTCTTAACACTTTTTTTAATTTTTTCTTCATGTTTTTATTAACTTTTTATGCAAATTGACATTTGGTGGATTGACCAAAAAGACTTAAAAATATCCGCTTTGATTCATTATTTGTTTTGATTTTAAATTTACGAAATATTTAACAAATATTAAAACTAGGTAAAAGATCCGCATATATACGGATTTATGGTAAAAAAATATTTTGCAACCCGTAAAAAATCAAACACAAAAAAAACAGAAAAATTAAATCACTCATGAAAATAAATAAAATCGAAAAATTGATATTAAATAAAATTAACACTTATTTTTTTATCTTGATTTTTTTGCCTAATTTGATTTCCAATTAAATTTGATACTTCTTTTTAAAATAATTATTTTCTTTTTATTCATGTTTGAAGTAATTTAATTTTTACTATTTTGCTACTCTATTTCTTCAAAATCTTGTTGAATTACTTTCTCGTAGTCTTATTTGAATTTTGTAATTTTATAACCTGTGAGAAAACACAAAACATGAAATGTAAAAAACCACTAATAGAAACGCATCACTATTATTAAATTGTTTTGACTCTTTTAATTATATTATTTTCTTTTGAATTAATTTTTTTACATATTTCCAAATAATTAGTTTCTTCTTTTCCTTATTGAATTAGATTTATTTTATTATCATATATTTATTTTTCTAAAACCTTAACGAATTGAATCTCATATTTTTAGTTGCAAACTAAATTGTAAATTTCAATAAGATTTCTTTCACAAATTGATTCCCAAATTTTGCAAAAATCTAAATCATTTAGTGATGCAAAAAGCTTTAAATAGTATTTTTATGGGTTAAAATAAAATTAAATTGTAGTTAGATATTATTCAAATAATTAATATGTTAAGACTCTTATTGATATAAAATAAAAATACGCTAACCTTTTCATCAACTAATATAAATTCATTCCTTTAAGCGCATTATTTTCTTAATATATTATTCTTCTCTTACTTTCTAATAAGACTTAATACACTACGATGGTAAACACATTTTGTATTTAAGTATAATTAGTAATACATTAAGACTGTTACTGATATATAAAAATATGCCAACTTTTTCATCAACTAATATAAAGTCCATTCTTATAAGCTCATTATTTCTTTTAAAATTTTTTGACACTCACTTTCTAATAAGACGTACTACAATACGATGATAAATATTTTTCCAAACTTATATCTT